AGTTCATGAACTAGAAGCATCAAAACCTTTCATTTCTGCAATTTTTTAATTCCAAGGATTTCTATTTTGATGGGTTTCCTTTATAAAAAGAAAAAATAAATCTTTTGAAGAGATTGTGTTTAGGTAGAAAGAGATCATGGAGGCTTAATGGTTAGTAACCTGAAAAAAAAAGGTTCCAATAAATTGACCTTGATTATCATATTGAGGGAAAGGAATGCAAAATTGGAATAGCATTCTTATTGTTTATTTCATCAAATAAATTAATTAAAGTTTTATTTGTTTGTTTTTTCAACATACGAACAAGCTTAACTTCGAACCTACAACGTTTAGATCGAGAATTCATATCTTAACTAGTTGAATTATATTCAAGTTGACGTTTAAAACCCTACTAATAAAATAAAGAATTCAAACTACACTTAGAAATATAAATCAGCTTAAAATCTATCCATTCTATAATGTTACTTAAATTGAATATTTAGATTAAAATCGTGACAAAAAAAAAAAGGTGTCAATGTTGGTAGGAATGTCATATAGAGAACATCAATCCTGGTCTTGTTCATCATTATATCGCTTCTCGTTCCCATTCATCGTTCTATCGTTCCATTATTAGATTCTTTAAGACTCCCACAACATTTTGCAAGTTTATCTTTATTCTTTCATATTCTCAAAGAAAGTTGTTTTCCAATTAAAAGAAAAATCTCTTTTTATCAGGTCAATTTAAGACCCCCACAACATTTAATAACAATATTAACTAAATTGGTTAATGTGGAAAGTACTATGACCACTTAGAAATCAGATGATGGGTTAAGATAGGTTAAGAAGATCTACGTTCTCGTTTCTTGTTTCTAATTTTAGTAGAAAATTCAACCATTTAACAACTATTTATGTTTTTTTCCTCATTTTTTAGAAACATTATCAAAATTTTATAACATGTTTTAAAACAATAAACACAAATTTCTTGTTTTCAATTTGTTCAAACATAAATAAAAATCTTGTTTTATCATTTTTGTATCCATAAGTGATGGAGGTGTCATACTTATTAAAAAAATGAAACAAAAACAAAAAATAACAATGGCAAGAATTGTCCAAAGTAAGTATTTGAACCAATTTTACAAGTAAGACTTTTTAAACGAGCATAATTAAATTAACCTCAAAATTCGGGGACATTTTGAATAATTTGGCTTTTAATAGATACAAAAAACGAGAGTTTTCTCATTGTTTTGGTAAACAAGGACGAATAAAGTCAAAAAACATTTAAACATTTTGGTGGGTAAAAAGTGGTTTATGAAGCAATCCAAGTCTAATCTTTAGGTTTAATTTGTTTACCTAGCAAGGCTGAATTTTACAGGAAATTTACTGCAGAACATGGATATTTTTTCACAGAAAACCTTGCCTTCTCTTCTAAGGACACACAAGGGGAATGCCATCTGAGCCTTTCCAGCAAATGGCTTGCCATCCCCAATTCTTCAAGCTATCTGGTTGAAAGACACTGAAATTTTGTTAAAAGAATTAGAATGATTACAAATCAATGAAATCAATTCATCCAAATCCAGGGATAATTATCTCTTGAAATAGGAAAGGACAGATTACTAACTTGTTTGGACGACTGCAAAGAGTCTATGAGTTGGGAGAGGGGGCGGATTGACAAACAGAGTGGGAAATCAGTTAAGCTAAGACGAAATTAAGGGCACTACGAGAAACAGCAGCAAGATCTTGACATCGATAACCAGAAACATGTATGTCACATCACAAGGAATACAGACACTCAAGGGAAAAAAAAATTCCAATTTGTATAACTATCACTAATAGAGATACATATGCATGATGTAATGTAAAACAATCGGGTGAAATTTTATGACATTTTCCTTTCTTCAACTGTAGTATGAGATTCCTTTCGTGTTCATCGTGGCCAGCAATGTCGGAAAAATCAAGAAAAGCCAAGGGTGACAATGATAAGTATGATGTGTACCGTGCTCTTATGTGCGTGTATTGTGATATATGTAAAGCTTTATTCCTTAGAAGCTTGTTCTCATGTACAGCTCCTGCAATATCAGCATAGAGATACAATCCAAATGAGATAAACTTAAACCTCATTGTGGGGTAAGCAAGAAGTTTTATTCCTCCGGCCGAAACAAAGTGTAAGTTGAAGAGGTTTCGGTCTTTGTAACCTGCATTATGGAACAGATGTTACTAATACGACAAACAATATTTTATATCTAGATCTTATTTTGCAGTTATTTTACGTCATGGGTTACGAGATTACTGCAGACTGAACCATTGATCTTTAGGATGTTGAAGTCTTTATTTTACTTTTCTCCAAGAAAAGAATACTGAATTATGCTCACCTCAGGTGCGCCAGAAAGTCCAGTAGGAAGAACAGAAGCGAGAGATGTCCAATGAATTGGATCTCCCAAGGGATCAACAGTGTTGTAACTGCTCAGAAGAGGTGCAGTTAAGAACGGAGTCAAGGGGAACATATTTCTCTGAAGTGGCAATGCACCACTCATTCCCAAAGCAACACCATATCTCTCACCAGGATCACTTCCATGACTTTTATGTGTCTCAACTCCTTTCCCGTGATCTATCTTGTTAACAGTGTTTTTATTTTCATTCTCATCGTTCTCATTGTTAATTTCCTGCAATTTCAAAGCTTTCTCGTGCAAACTCTTGTAGGCGGCTGACCGTGACAAAATGCTTAAAGCAGAAACCTTGGAAGCTGCCTTCTTTACTCCCTGTAATGTACCCAAACAGGGCATCTCGTATGGCTCTGTAGGACGGGCAGTCTGTCCGAGAGCTTTGAGTTCACTACCAACTTCTCCAGCACAACTATGTTTGTCTTCGTCAGAGGATTTTGAGCCAGGATTTGCCGTTCGAGTTTTGTTGGATCCCCACCACTTAATGTAACTTGTTAAGTCAATCTTCCTTTCAATGCAGAAGCTGTGAACAAATTCGCTTTCTGTTGCTTGGTCATCTCCAGCACCTTAAAATCACATTGGATGGTAGGCACTGTTTACAATTTATATGGGAGAAATTCTTGTCCTTTTAAGTTTAAAATTCAGCAATCAGAGARATCCAAGGAGAGAACTGTGTCCTTGTAACTAGAGACATGATACATTAATAATTTAAAACAACTTACCATAATTTATGCTGTTGATGTAATCAGGGCCTGGCATACGACCAAATGAAGACTCCCATCGACTAGTTTATAAAAGCAGAAACAATGGTAGAATATTAAAAAAAATAGAGATCAACAAAATGCAAGGCATATGTAACTATTGCACTCTTAATCAAAATTTCAATGATACAAAGAGCATTTTCAAGTGGAAGAGGAAGATTAAAAAGAAAGCAACTAATAGACTGATTCAAAGCTTTTATTCTACCTCAGAGGCCTCAAAAGAAATGGCATAAGTTACATAGTAGTAAATAAGCAATATGTTCATTTGCAGGAAGCAAGGTGAAATTACGCAGATGGTCAGATTGGAGATCCAACCACAATCAGAAGACGTATACAAAAAATCATAAACCCAAACTCATTAGGACCCCGCAAAGATTTGATTATCTATTAAAAAGAAATCACTTCTTTTGTTTTCTCTTTTTAAAAACAAAAAAAGCCAATCAATTTCATAAATGATATAAAATAACAAAAAAGGGCAAGGAAGCAAAGCCCTTGCCAAGGAAGATTACAGAAAACATTTAAACTATAATGGTTGAAAAGAATGAAATTTACACTAAGAGAGAGCCACAAAAGAGATAGTATCAAGAAGGTGTTCCAGATATTTTCTAGCCGGTCAAGGTTCTATTGTCCATCTCGAGCTAAAGGAAGTTCCAAAAGAAAGCTCTAATAAACTGAAGCCAAAGTGCCCTTCCCTTGATGAAAGCCTACAATTAACATTTTAATGAAGAAAAAAATACCTCGAGAGACCCCGATATTTAGAGATTCCCCTTGAGAACCCACTGCTCTTTCTGCGAAGTGTAAAATTGTATAAGCAGCAGCAACAGATTCTCACGAAAAGATGTCTAAACAGTTTCTCCTTACCTCCTGAGAGATGCAAGGTATTCCTCTCTTGAAACGTTCTGCATTTCTTCAAGGTCCCTTGCATAATCAGTCACCTGAAAAATGCAGTTATTCCATTTATTATTACACAAGGAAAAGTCAAGCAGAACAAAGCATACAGGTAAGATATTGAAGATACTTGTCTAAATAATGAAGTTTTATCAAGAACTCTGAAGGGTAGTAATTCTCAAGAACTTCCATATTTTATAGTTTATTCAAAAGGTGGAAAGTAAGTATTACGCAATTTAAATTTTCAAATTCATCTCATAGAACAAAATGTAGTTGCAACTCCAATGCTCCGTAAGACCAAGCATCAAAAGAGGAATATATACTTCAAAGTATACATAAAAACTTAATGAGAAAGTATGTTCATTAATGAATCAATTTCCTATTCTTTCTTTTTTCATATCTCCTTTTCTTGAGGGGGAAGGGGGACTAAATGACTAAATGACATCTCACTGGAAAATTAATAAGAGTCCCAGGACCCCAATATTTTAAGGCAGCCAGATCATATGCCCTAGCAGCTGCCTCTTCTTCATCATATGCTCCTGTGAATGCATGTTATTCACTATTAGAATAGTGTAAAGGGAAAAATAATGCAGCTTAGTTAGTGATAAAAAAGAAACTATATAAAAGAAAATGAGATTAGACTAACTTACCCAGATACACTGGAATGATCAATCGCATGCCAGAAGTTCCATGCACATTTAAAAATAAAATAAAAATAAAAAAAGATAAAATTGGTGTCAGTATTCCATGATCACAAGTAAATCAGTGATTATTACAAGTGATTTCGTTTCCAAACAGATTTGTGTGTGTGAGTGTGAGAGAGAGTGCGAGAGAGACCTTGCTTTCCCTTCTTGTTTTGGTTCTGGTTCCAAGTACTTTTATCCCAAAGATGAGCTTCATAACGACCAGTCCATCTATGCCTGATATCATCAAATCATTCACAGGCACTAGTTAGCAGAGAAAAAGGTAAAGATAAACAGCAACCGTACATCACAAGCAATGTCAGACAATCAAATCTCACTAAATAAAAAGTAAGAAAGAATATGAATTGCCTCGAGGCTTACGCCTTGCCTCTTTGAGAGGAAAAGCCTCAAGGCCGCTTTTAGCCTTTTAAAACATTGATCGTAGGATAACAATATGAATTGCCACAACTGCAGACAGATAAGCATTATCCCAAATTCTTTTTCTGTCTGGCTCTAGATTAATGCAGTTTATCATCAAGCCATATCTGTAACTCTCTCTTCCACCAACATGAGAACGATCAATTTGAGCTTCCGTTTTCATGCATAACTAAGGCGCAACTGTACAGCATAGACTGCAGTAGCCATTAGCTTTAGTAACATTCTCGTTCTCGTTTTTCATGAATCTAAGCGTTTAGCAAGTTCTTGTTTCTCAATTTTTTTGAAAAAGTTCAAAAGTTATATTGAAATTTTGGAAACAACGAAAAACAGGTTTTGTTGCTTCTTGTTCCCATTCCAAATTCGTTCTAAAACATAAATAAAAATATTATCTTATCATGAATTTATGGGTATGGAGACCATGCAATCTTATTTTTTCTTTTCTAAAACAGAGGAAACAAGAAACGGGAGAAACGGGCTCTAATAGACTCATCCACACCACATAGTCACTTGATCGTATCCTCATCACATCACATAGTATCAAAATTAACCACCATGAACACAGATTTAACTGTTTCGGGATTGAGCGAAGAGCATATCAACTCGCAGTATCAAATTTGGGTGCGAGAAGTGAGCAACGATTCTACATTTTCTATTCCGATTATTATTTCGTGAAATTGTAAGCTAAGGAAACTATACCGGAATCTGAATTACCTAGTGACTCCGCGGTATATAGAGCTTCGTTTTCCAGCAGCACAGGGAGGCATTTTACTGATGCGCTCTTTGGCAGTACAACCTCTCTCTTTCTTGGCCTTCTTCAGGCCTCTGTACAGTAAAAGCTGATCGTTGGCAATAACGACCTCGGAAGATTCCCCCACTGCTCCTCCGGCACCGGCACCGGCTTCGTGTTTCAAGGCATGATCGGAGGACGAAGAAGCCATGGAAAACCCTAGGAGCGAGAATTGAGTGAGAGTGAGGAAGCGGAGGCAGTGTGGGCGGGCTGGGGGATTTGGTGAGGTGTGAGGGAAAGGGGAATACGAAATGACGGTTTTGGCCTCGGGAATCTGGAACGCTCTCGAGGGTACTACAGGACCATGAAAAAGGGGTCACAACGGCTAGCAGGGGGAGGAGGGTAGATTGGTAAATTGAGATGGTTTGAAAAGCCAGGCCGCAACATGCTCTGTTTGTTGACGTTAATTCTATTATTTTCCAATTATTCAAATCAAATTAAATGCTTCCCCATTTTCTTTTTCCTTATTCATTAAATTCCCAAATCACAGCAATAAGAATATTACAAAAGCTAAAATAAAAATTTTAAGGGTAAAATGTATTTTTGATTCTTCCGATTTAAATTTAGTGTCCATTTTGATCAGTAAACTTTTAAAATATATATGTTTAGTCTCTAAAATTTAAAAAATAGTTTTGAATGATCTCTAAATTAAAATTGAGTATTAAATCTGAATTCCAATTTGTTGTTAAGAGATTTAATTTAGCTTAATTGAAAATTTCTCACTGGTTTGTTGTGATCTCAGAGAGGTGGAGACAATGCATGAATGATTTGGGCCAGCGATATAAACCTAAGTGTCTTAGTCATGCCACGAGGATTTAAAGAAAGATGTTTGAGATTTATCCAACGTCCAAGTTGACACAAATTGGAGTCACACTAAATGCACCCGGACTTCATTTAATACAAGTGAAGCATCCTTCAATGGAACTAAACTTGAAGCTACTTCAATTTGAACATTATTTACTCATGAAAGGTTAAAAAAACCTTGAAAACTTACCAAAGTAACTCATCCCCATATTTAAAGTTCATTTCATTGTATTTTCAGTTTTAAACCTTTCCTTTGTTAATTTTATATTACTTTTGAGTTAGTGGAGGTTATGATATAAATATACTAGGAGTTACATCCTTTCTATTGTCTTTAGGTTATTTCTAGGGTTTTTTTTGGAGCCTAGCTTATTTTATTGTAAAACACAGATTTGAGTTATGAGATATATAAATGAAATTTGAGTTTATTGAGTCACGAGCTTTTCCTTTGCATTTCTTGTGTTTTAGAATTGCATGCTTGAATCATTCAAGTAGCCTTTATGAAGCTAACTTGTAGAGTGATTCGAATCTTTTAGTTTAAAAACAAGTTTTCTTTACTCTTGCTCTTGATCATCAAGGTAAATTCGTTATAACTTTTTCCTTCGACTGAAATCATCTTGATTTGGGAGTTCTAGCATTTGTGATCTAAGGGTTTACGCAACCAATAAGAGTTCTTAGATTTAATTACCTAGGGTTTTTTTATCATTTGATATCAGAGCTTTAGGCTCTAGATCAAATATATATTTGTTTTTTCGTATTGCTCTTCTTGTTCTTTATTTTGAAATTTTGTTCTTAATGTTCATCTACATTCTTTCCACATGTCTAAAATCAATAAAACAAGTGTCATTTCCGTTATTCATTTCATATTTTTGTCTATTCCAATATTATAGATTAAAGTTAGATCTACTTCTTTGATATCTTCTTATTTGAATTGCATATGGTTGAAAAGTACCCAATTTGATATTCTATTATGGAAAACTACTATACTCGAGAGAGCATGTGTTCTTCTTTTGTTGTTTCTATTTTTGCTTCCAAATTATGCTAGATCTGGTTGTATTATTGAAAATTTTATATTTGTGTTAATCTAGCAATTGGCATCAAATCATATCAGTTATATACAGTGTTTGAAATGTCGATGTCAATGGAAATGTCAAGATCCCGATTTTACAGACATGTCGATGGATATTTCGGAAAAAATAATGGAAATTGTGGAAATTGATGGAAATTTCTTAAATTAGCAAATAAAACTTGAATTGTAGCTTAATTAGCCTATAACTAATCACCTTTAACCATTAAATATAAGAATATGACCATTTTATTTATGAAAATGTCGATATCGATGGAAATATCCAAAAAAGATTTCTTCCTTTAATGAAGATTAATGAAAATTATTTGAATATGTAAAGTAAACTTTAATTGTAAACTTTTGACTACTTCTTTAGTGTCTTTCATAATAGGATTCATTTGAAAATGAGATAATTACCGACTTGATTTCCAAACACATTTCTAAATTCTAATTAACTCGTACCTTTTTACTTTTACCTATTTCTCTTTTCAAATTTGAATTTACAAATTTTCAAACACATTTTCAAATCAATCATCAATCCAACTTTCCTCAAATTTACACAATTCCCAAACACATTTCTGATTCACTCAAATTATTTTTACTTATTTTTACTTGTTTACTTTTTACTACTTTTCTTTTCAAAATTGAATTTACACATTTTCAAATCATCCATTAATTCAACTTTCTAATCAAATTTACACAAGATGAAGACCATGGATCTCAACATCTAATGGAGGAGGTAACAACGATGCTTGCAACCAGGTAGAAGCGAGACAGTCAAGTAATCCAGGAATAATTTCTTTTTCATGTGAGGTTGGATTTGATCATGTCACCCAAGATGAGGACCATGGATCTCGGGTGGGTGGTGAGGGGATTGCTGCCATTGGTAAACCATTTTATAGACATCAAGATGCAGGATCATACTCGGGACAATATGATAATAATTCATTAATATCAAGTATAAGAACAATGAGTATAAGCAGCAACAGCATAGAAGAACTAAGTTATGGTCAAGGAAGTTCTTATTAGTCTAGGTATGGTCAAACTGAATACTCACCTTATGGTATGACTATCACCCTGAATCTCAATTTCGTATTGTGTCATTCATCCAAATTATCTACCAATGGGATCCATATGTACTTCATATGAAGTCATATTCTCTACTCATTTGAGCAACTACACCTTCAAAGCTTTCAGTCTAGGATGACTTAGGAGAACTATTGTAATTTATATCAAAGTTATCAAGATAGTGCACTAGATCCTCTGATGTCATCCTTTTGATATTAATTAAGTTACATATTCTATTTCATGTATCACCACTATTTGTATATAATAATATTTTATTTTTTAAAATCTCTAAGATTATTTCAATCTTTATATATGTCAATATTTCACATATATTTTTCAATTGTGTAACTAAGAACTAGATTGGATTAGAAATTATCAATAAAGTAAACTTCGAATCTTATTAGTTATACTTTATACAATATTAAAATGTGAATGTTGCATTGAATAGACTAAGATCACAATCATCGAGGTTGTGAGAAATTATACATTGTAGTGGCAAGAAGACGAAAATAAAATAACCTTTAAAGAAAACGACATGTCAACATTTGGTCGACATGACATGTCGACGACGTGGGGGAAAAATCGACTTTTTGAATCCTGGTTATATATTGATTCCTTTCCACAACTAGTCGTTACTCATTAAATTCTTGGTAATTGCAGTTTTAACTCTTTTAATTTACAGCAATTGGTTTTCAATGCTTATAATATTGACTAGTTAGATCCACATGACTTACACATGGTTTAAAATTTTTGGAATATAATTTCTTAGATGGAAATTTCAAATTTTAACGAAAATACATTTTTATTATTTTCAAAAAAGTATTTCCATTATATATCAAAATTTGTAATGATAATATTTTTATTTATAATATATGTAGTAAAAAAAGTAATACATTAAGCAAATTTGGAAACATATAATGATGCTAAAAGTTTACGAAAAGTAAATCATATATACATTATACGAAAATTTTCAGTATTACAAAATTTAAAGAAAATGTTTGATGTTAATGAAATTGTAGTAGAATTTAATCTCTATTAAAATCTATATATATATATACATACATCCAGCCTTCTTTCTCCTTTCAAAATTGGTCAGATCGACCCAACAATGATAGGCTAGAGGGATAGACTCATTCGACTATAGTTGTAGGAATGGACTGTGACGAAGGTATGGTTACCGAGAACCGCAAGGTCAAAAGTAAAAGAAATCATTTTAACTACGAATAGTGGACAAATTGGTGTTTACCAAATCACACAACTATTGCTACAAGTTTAGATATAGGCATTTTTAGAATAATTTTAGAATTACCAAAACTATTGCCGTAAGTTTACATATAGGTATTTTTAGAATAATTTTAGAATACAACGTATTTTTAATGATGAATGGTTAACGATGACTCTGATGGGTGATTTTGCTAGAGTGGGCAATTATAAGGTCACTGTTTTAGTTAAAAAACTCATTATTTAATAAGGATTTGTTACGCACAATATGCAAATCGGTCATTATTGGAGTCACTGTTAGAGGTGATTTCTCAACTCACACGTGGCATGCAATGATTGGATACTCAGAAGCATACATGGCTTCTTCTACTGAAATTTGTCTTCCTACCTCGGCTATGATCTTCCATGCTGAGCCAACCAACTAAGCGGTCGAGCCGACCAAAGAGTTCTAGATTATATTCCCCAATATTCTATTGAACTGACTTCCTCCACTTTGGTTCAGCTTATTTTCTGACAAACTCTGCAACATCACGTCGTGTTTCACAGTTACCTTAAAGAGCCGTCAAGGCCTTGTCGGGCACGTGGTCGAAGATTTCTTTATAAATAGAGGCCATTTCCTCTGTCTTAAGGTACGCGAACATTCGATTCTCTCTCTCTCGAGTTGATTTGGACATTTACTAACTTTGACATTGGAGTGCTCATTCTGTTTTGTAGGTCTTCTGCACAGTATCCAAAGTTCACTGTCCAACTCATCCTAGCTGATCCAACGTTCGAGAAGTTGATCATTTTTCTAATCAAACAGTCACCATTCCCAATCTGCTCTTATCCCTTCCAAACAAAGGGTCAGTTCCTTTCTTGTCTTGCTCGAACTAGCTATTCCGCAGATTCCCACGTGTTATGTGTCATGGTCATGCTCGTCAAGAGCATGTCACCCATGGTCGTATGCCCATGACACTTTCTTCCCTCATACTTTTATACCATGTATTTACTTTTGCATGTTATTTACTTTTCATTGTACTTTTGGTGGCGAGTGACTCCTCGCCACTTTGCTTTATAATGTA